CCCCGTCCTAAGCATAATCAATACCACTGCCAGGTTGAACAGTGTCTGACATTCATCAAACGTCTGTCGGATTTGCCTATGTCCAGTAGCTTCGATAGATCTAAAACGGGCCTTTCTCCACACGTTTCTGTAGTGTCTCATTACTTGTCAATGAATCAGCTGAATTTAACCCCACCAGTAGCTGGGTCTTAAAATGTGCAGCAGATACTTCGATCCACAATAAATTACCCAACAATCGGTGGTTCGTGAACATTAGATTATATTCACATTTGTAAGTTTTAAAGTAATAAACCTATTTAATGATTTACGGATTTATTGAAGAGGGGAAGTTTATAAGCTTGAATGAAAAAACGTATTCTAGTAACAAGGGTCTAGAACTTTGTTTCGTACTTTATCGAATTATCAGAACAAAAAAATATTAACCATAAGCAGTTGCTGTCCCAATTCGCACGGATGTGAACGGTCTACGGTTGGGGTTCAGAAGACCTTGAGCAACCTAATTCAGTGTGGAAGAGGTACTCCATGTATGCAGACGGGTCTTGTCAGACCTGGCGGAATTACAGCGCAGCAAACCATCTGACGGCGATGGAGATGACAGGTGACCGCTAATCACCCGCGCAGGCGAGCGCGCGCACATTCCGTCTGTGTGCCACCCAATAGAAGAGGTCAACTCTTCGGTGCGCGCGTGTGCCATCGCTAAGTCAATATGCGCGTGCGTCAGTGCATGTACATATCCGAGTTTGCGCTAGCACACGCGCAAGCGTGCACACGAGTGCATCCCCAGAGAAGGTGGATGCGTGTGTCCGTGCGCTTGCCTGTACGCACGAGGCTACCGATGGAGGGTACACACGGCGGCAGATATCTTTCCCACTTGTCCACTCCCATTATTGCTTTTTTATCCTGCCGTTGTTGACGTACCAATGACTCGATTGTTTGAAGTCCTTGAAGTAAGAATAATCGCTAGTCCACATGATTTTGGGGAATGTGTTTTTGAAAACATATTCCTATATAAAAGGCATATTCATCGATTAGGCTGGTTTAAGAAATATTTCAGTGGTATGCGGCTTTTATCTGGTCCAAAATTTGGATAAACCAAATTTTGATCCGCTTTAATGGGACTTCACATATGAGACAACTTCAAAAACATGCTGACTTGAAATTTTGAGTTGATAAACATCATTATTAGGTATGCTCTGACCACTCACTATATATTTTCCACTTTTAGGCTATAAAACACATAAGGTTGGATAGAATGCTAGCATGTTTCTCGCTGAGGAGCGCCTTAGACTAATTTTACACCCTTACCTATTTACATAATTCTAAGAATCATACTAGTTCGTAGTTAGTAGAATTATTCAAAAAAAAAACATTGAATATGCTAATAACGAATCGTGGAAGCCATGGGTAACAGTATCCCTGTCTTGTTTATTGGTTTTTATATACCTTTCTTCTGAAGTCGTGATTCTGAAGCAAAAGATTCTCAAAAATGCTAAGTTATTAATGCTTGTTGAAAATACGGTAAAATGTTATACAGGCATAAAAGGGAGAACATACGTTCCAAATAGAATTTCGTACGTCTGATACTCTAGTGATGGAGAGAGAGACTGTGTTTTATTTGTGCCTTTTGAATGCTTTTTCATTCTACATGAACATTTCAAAATCATAAAACGGACTGTTCTATGATGTGTTACAGTGAAAAACACCTCAAGAATATAGTTTTCTGACAGGTGGTTGTGTTGAGACGGATCTTCAGTATAGCCTGTCTGTATCCCATTTTCATAGGAAGCTGGAGGTTTTAATATTAAAAGTTTAACCTGACTGAAAAAAAGTGTTGCAGCACCATAGAAGGACTTTTTATATTAATCACTATGCGTTGAATATAAACAGGTCCAGTAAAATTGGAACTAGTCAGTAGCATTTATTAAATATCTTAGTCCGTCTTTATCGACATGCGTACTTTGACCTGTTATTCCTCTCACAATAGTCGCCACAACCTGGTCTTTCATTTTCCCGTACCCTCGTTTACAACATCCTGTATCCTACTAAGTCGATGCTTCTAATTTTTAAAACGCTATTACAATTTTAATGGCAGAAACCGCATGCCATTTCCTGCCTGCAAAATTTGGAATTTGCGCTACACTCCTCGCGAACATTTCGCGACAGTTAACTCACTATTCAGTTCAGTTCGGCATACCACCCAATTGGTCAATAAGGCCGACTTTAGAGATTGGCACAATTTAATGCTCCTGCATTCACTAGAAGGGTCACATAATAATTAATCAACACTCACAGGAGGGCATGCATAATTTCACCTTAGAGAGTGAACTCAAAATTTACAAAAGCTCTGGTTAAGGAAGAAATAAGCGATCTTATCCTTTTAGAATTGCCTAATTTTTACTCAATAGGACGACCTCTATTTATTATTTATGGTATTTTATATTACAATCAAACAAGTGCTTCAATAATTTCTAGCTAAAACCGTTATGAACACGGTGAATGCTGATAAACAGAACAAATTTTAACTTCTTAATACCAGTGAGGTGCGATACTTTCGTTACCCTATTTAAGATTTACGGGAAAGGGAAAGCACAATTTTTGCGGCATTCCTTGACCCACTAAAACTATAGCTTTCACTTTATAAAAAGTGTGAAAATGACTGAATCCTCTGAAAAATTCGATTGTTTCACTTGCCATTAAATTGAATAACTTGGTAAGCGTAGTGAAAAGTGTGGGGAAATTAGCGGACTTTTGTTTCCCCTATCGAAAGTGGAAAGTAATGAACCGTCAATGTGGTTAAGGCAACACCAACACCTGATTTCCAGTATGCTACAGTACTACCATCCGAACAACAAATCAGTTCCTTCTTAGACGAGGTTTGCTTAGCAAATCAAGGCGTCACGGTGGACTTGGATCAGCATCAATCCTCTTCATGCCAAAAATTGTGCTAGTTTGTATAAACTTGATAGGTAAAACCCTTAAAACAGTGTTACATGCTTCAAATGATATTTAATAAAATAACTATATCATGGTGCAATATTCGTGTGGACTAGTAAAAATAGACTAAGCAAAATCAAGCTCCATGGACCACAATTCCTTGAGAGCATTACTACTCATAATCAGTGCATTTAATGATCAGTTATGGCCTCAAAAAATGCCATGAGTTGTATGTCCAGACACGATCAGAAATTCATCGCTCTGTTTGTCAACGTTCTTTTTTACTGTGAACAAGTAACCGTCTGAAACCACATTGTGCAAATAAGTAATAATTTGATACATAGAATCGAGCCCCGAGCAGAAGGTATGATTGAATAAACCGCGACTACACTTAACATCAGCCACTTTTATACCAGCATACCCAACTGAATAAAAAAGAATGCATGCAGGAGACTTAATTAATTTTAAAGGAATGCATTTAAGCGTGAATATAGCACTATTC